CGGGCCGCCCGGTCCCGCTCGGCCCGGCCCGACAGACCCAGCACAAAGCGGGGAGCAGAGGCTCTCCGGGCTGGAACCCACTCACTCCAGGGGTTGGAATCCCCCCCCGGGCTGCGGGGTGTCTGTGGTGTGGTGTAGGTCCTGAGGGGTGAGTTATTTGGGGCGCAAGGATGCTCCTGGTGCTGACAGGCGTGAAGCTGCTGGTGTGAGCATCCCTGGGTCAAGGGCAGGCAGGAGATCCCCTTGGCTCAGTTTATTTGGCATTGCATTAGGAATGACATTAGCCATTGGGCTCCTGGAGTGAAAGGGCATTCCCTGTTTCTCTCTTGGGCCAGGGACTGAGTTGGAGGCAGGCTTGCTGTCAGACATCTGGCCGTACTCATCCCTGGGCAGGGCAGCAGGCCAGATATCCATTCATGCATCCAGCCATCCATCCCTGAGTGGGGAGCTGGGTGCAGGGGTTGCTGGTGGCCCCAGTGATGCACGCTGTGGCTGGAGCTGGCACTGCTCACCTGAGCTCGGCTCCATCGTGCTCGAAGCCATGGAGCAGGACAGGTGTGGTGGATGACACTGCTGGGGTCTGCCTGCATCCAGTGCTGTCAGGAGCAAGGGAGAGAAATGATGAGGGACCGGAGGCTTTTGTCCAGCCAGTCAGTTTCTGGACCACACTCTCCCAAATGGTGACACTTCCCTACGCCTCTACTGGCAGTCTTTCCCAAGGCCTCCCTTAGGGAGGTGGCTCTGACATTACATCTCTGAAAGGCTGGGATTTTCCTTCCATCCTTTGAGAGTGCCTCATCTGATGCTGCTGCTGGCTTGGCCCCAAGTGATGGCAGAGCCAGCTCTCCATGAGCCCCTGTGCTGGCCATGCTTTGTGTCAGCCTGGTGGGACCTTCCTTTCTCTGTAAACCAGGGTCCTCTGTGGAACTGGGAGCATCTGCCAGCTGGGTGAAGAGTGGATGTGTCCTCAGAGAGGGAGCTGCTGGTTGCCAAGGCAGGAGTCACTCTTAGCTCTGGGAGATGCCTGTGCCAGGGGTGCACCCAAGCACCCACGTCAACACCTGGTGCAGGGCTGGGCACCCAGAGGTCCCCATTGGAACCAGACCTCTTCTTGCTCTGCAGGCGGCCACCACCAGAGCTGGTGTCTGCAAAATGGTTAAAGGCTGACATTTAGAGGTCACACTTTTAGCACTGTGCATGTGTTTGCTTCATTTGCATTTGCAGTTAGCCGGGCTCGAGGCTTTGCCACTCCATGTGCAGTTGCCATGGTTACGCGTGCAGTCGGGATGTGGAGTTTGGTTGGACACCTGCAAACACGCAGCTCTCAACCTCCAGAGAACGAGCAGAAGCTGCCAAGGTGCAGGGCAGCCCTGGGACACGGGTGTGAGAGCCCTGCACAGTGCTGTGCTGAGGAAATAGGAGCTGCAGTGCCCGTCTTGGCAGGGTGTGCGTGGTGCTGCCTTGCACTGCCTCCAATTGCCCACACTCAACAGCAGTGAGCATCTAGGGCAACCTTGTTAGAGAGGAAGATTGAGCCCATGCCAAGGGGGTTGCCCTGCACTTTTCATCTGAGGCTGTCTCTTTTCCAGACCTGGTGTAGAGGCTTTTGTCCCAAAGGGCTGGAGAGAAGGTGCTTGAGAGCAGGGTGGTGAGGGCAGCCAGAACCTGGGAGTCATGAGTGGAGCTACTGAGCAGGCTGCCCAGGGACAGGGGCCTGCCAAAGCTTCAGAAGGCAGCGTGAGAATTGGCAGAGCACTGTGCTGAGGCTCCAGATGTGGTGGCTGTGTCTGTCCTGGCTCTCTGTGGGGGCTGCTCTGGGTGCTCACGTCCAACACAGACAGGGATTTGTTCCAGGTGTCTTTTGATCAGGATCACGTCCTCCAGCAAGAGCAAGGAGATAGTGACTGCCAAAAATCCCCTGGCAGGTCCATGTTGGCCTTTGTGTCAAGGGAGGAGGAGTTTTAGGACAGCTGATAAGAAAGGGACCTTGAGGTCATCAAGTCTCTAAGCTCCATCTAAACAATTCCCGAACAGCATCAGCTCAGCCAGCTCCTAACCCCCCCCAGCCACAGCGAGTCTGCTGCCTCCCAAGCAATTTGCTGCCATCTTCCTGGATCCTGTCTTCTAGAAGCTATTTCTTTGCAGCAGGCAGGGGAGAAAGGGAGCTCTCTTGGCTGTCCAGGAGCTACTCTGGCCTCAGACAGCAGTGTGGAAGTGTCCATGCTGCACTGATGGCAGCTGGAGGGATCCAGTAACAGGAGGAGGGTGGAAGGATGGTGGGAAATGGTGGGGATGGGGACACGGGGCGTGTGTCTGTGCAACAAGTTGTGGAGCTGCAGAGGGGCCTGTGGGATCTCAGAGCAGAGCACAGAGGGTCTGTGTATCTGCCATCCTGGGGCTGTGCACCAAGTGCTGAGGGATGGGGCAGGCAAGAGCTTGGCTCTGTCCTTAGAGCTCCCGGTGCCACTGGGATGGAAGTTACGGGCTCCCTGTGGGATCCCAGACAGAGATTCCTCCGCCGGTGGTCTGTGGTTATTGGCTGCCACTGACAGTGCTTTGAAAGGCAGCCAAGGGCGTTGTGGCTCCGGGTCGGCACAGAGGGGAGGTGGTCGCAGGCAGCACAGGGCACATGAGCAGGAGGAGGCAGGTTGGATCCTGCTACGGGGAGAGGAGAGCTGGGTCTGAGACTGAGCTGAGCTGGGTGGTGCTGGATGGGGGACTGAGTGCTCTGGTGGTCTCCTACCATGATACTCCCCTGAGCTGGGGGCAGGGAGCAGACTGTGACCAGCACTGTGTGCTGCTGGCCTCAGCAGGATTCTGCTGTGGGTGTGAGGGGAATGAATAAATGGTCCTGCAATTGCCAGAGCTGCCAGTTTGAACCCACATCATTCAGACCCTGGAGCGAGTCTGACTGAGAGGAAATGGGGATGAAGAGGGAGCAGTGGAAAGACATGGGTGCTTCTGGCTGCAGCTACTGGGTCCTGTCTGGTTTGTGTAGCTCCTGGAAGCTTTCCCTGAATGGGAGGTTATGTGCAGTTTGGAGGCTTGTCTGGGCTCAGTAGTCATGTGGTATTGCAGTCCACGATGAAACCTGCGTTCCTGCTAAGTCTCGAAGTTGTGTGTGGAAACTCTGCTCTAGCAATATATTCCTTTTGCCATGTTGTCTGTCTGGCAGCAGGGACGGCACGTGGCAGGGGCTGTCTGTGAGCAAGACTTTGTGCTGGGGAGCACTGTTTGGGATGAGACCACCTTGGCACAGAGCTCAGAGGATTGTTGGTAAAGAAACCTTATTCCTGACACTGCAAAATGCAGAACACTGGAGTAACATCTGTTATTTTCAAACTGCATCTCAGTGCAAGCATATCCTGTAAGGTGCCTGGCAAGCAGAGCTGAAACTTTGCCTGGTGGCCAGATGCTGTGGCCGTGCCAGCAGAGCAGGTGGCAAAGTTTGGGAAAGGTTGCAGAGAGAGCGTGTTACTGGGCTTGTACGGTGCACAAGCCTTGTTTGGGTCTGGGCCTGGGCTGCTGAGGGCAAGGGTGGCTGGGAAAAGTTTGGTCAGGAGGCTTCTGAGATGGGCTTGGGGAGGGGACTGCTGAGAATGTTCTTTTGTGATGATCAGGGGCTGCAGAGACTTGGCCTTCATTAAGCAGTTGGTGCTGCTCTAAAGGAGTGGGAGAAGATGCCCAAGTCTGTAATGTGGCCAAAATGTCTGCATGGCACTCCCCATGGAGGTGGTCCTGTCCATGTCCTGGTGCTGGCACCACGTGCCAAAGGAGTAGTGAAGGTGAATGTGTGAATCCCGCTGTCTTTGTGTCTTTCTTCTGCCCTCACATAACTCCAGGCACCACTGAGCAACTTGAGGACTCATGGGATAGTGATGGAGGAGAAGGGGACAGGGGTTGCTCTGTGTCTCTGTCTCTAGAGCTGCCCACAGGGAGCTCAGGAGAGATGTGTGGGTGTTGAGATCATTGTGGAGTCAAATGCCTGGAAGTTGCAGCACAGTTGGTCAGAGGTCTGGTGGCCTCTCTGCAAAAAAAAAGGCTAAATAAGGCAGGGCTCTTTAGACTGGAAAAGAAACAACAGGAGATGGATAAGATGTGTCTACAGGAGGCCAGGAGAGAAGTGATAGAGGTTAACTGTTCATTGTTTATTTTCATACAAGTACAAGGTCACATCAAATTGAGCTCTCAGGAGGTGCCAAACAGGAGGAGGGGCATTGCCTCTTGTGGATGTGCTATTAAATCACAGAAGTCCTTAGGACAAGGTGTCATGAACAGCAAAACCATGCATTAGTTTCAGGAGAAATGGGATGATTTCAAGAAGGAAGAATAGAATAGAATCTAAGAAGAATAGAAAGAACTAATAAATACACTGAGATCCACCTCTGGCTTGGGCAGCCGCTGAACTGTGAATTACTTGTGCTTCTGACTGCTTGCAAGTTCACAGAGCAAGGTGGTCTTTTGGTCTGCTCTGTTATTTTCATAACATTCTGCACACCAGAGAGTGTGGAGCCAGGAGGGAGCACTGGGCTTTGGTAAAGAAGAATGGGTTTATCCCCATCCAGTTCTGTTACTTAGCTTGGCACAGGGTGACAGATGCATGCTCAGTCCTGCTTCCTCGCTGAGAGCGTGGGATGCTTTCCCCACATGATGGAGGTGCACCTGCTGGGAGATGCAGGACCTGTGCTAAGCACCAAGCCTTGGCTTCACAGCACCCTTTGCTGGAGACTCTAACAGGCTTTTGTCTACTGATCAGGTACTAATTCAGCTGGATTGAAAATAACTGGCAATATCCTTTCCTGCTGTGTTTCCTGACACCTCTGCTTCCTCTGGTTCCCTGGGCACAGGGACACACTGGCTGCAGAGCTAGAGTCTCATCTTAGACCTGTCCCAGTTCCCTGGTACTTGCTGCACATGATAGGCACTGTGGGATCACCAGGGATCTGATCTTCATACCCCCTCCTCCAGTCCCCGTTTGTGCCTGTTCTCATACACATCAGGAAATGTAAGCATCAGTTTTGTTCCTGGTTTTATCCTCAAATGAGAAAAGACTCATGTCCTGCTACCTGTGAGGATCCAGTTCAGCCTTACCTCAGTGAGTGTGGGATGGCAAAAGGCTGTTCCCCAGCTCCTGAGCAGTCCAGAGAC